AGCCTGAAGAAGGGAGATGTGGCCGGCTATAATCTTACTTACTGTTTATAGCTCAACTTTGTCCAATTAATGTCATGATTTGTTTGGATATCCTATAAAAAAATGAAGTGACTGCGGATGAAGCGTAGAACGGATGTACTTGTAAACTAACAGCTGCATCCTACCTTAAATCACATATATTTTTGATACTGCAATGCTGACCTGTAATTACATTCAGGTGCATGCACGCTTTGTACATGCAATTCTCGTAAGACGCGTGGGGTGTGAAAATAAAAAACAGATTTCAAGCTAATCAAGCCTCTTCTCGCTCAGCAATAGTTCCGCTCTCTCCACCTATCCAACAGCCACAAGTAATCTTCGTTAAATTTCCTATACCCATTCCTTCTATTCAGTATATTGGCTGTTTTGTTGATTTTTATAAATTCCCTAATCTTATGTCCACTAGTATTATCTCCATATCCAGCTTTAGACCAAGCCATCTCGTGTCCCGTGTGGGCTGTTTTCGACCAGTCCTGATTTTAGGATCCACAATCTGTTTTAGACTATTATACGTTCAGATGGCCTTTATTCTAAGCATCGACAGATCTCCTCCACATGGACACAAAACCTTATATCAGTCTGACTTGGAGAAAAGGTCCTAATCTTTCCAAAAGATGGCATTGCTAAAAATTTTCCTTATTCACGTAAGTGGCAAGACGTAGATAGTCAATCTTTTGTGGATGTCCTAGTTAATATATAAGGAAATTAATTGAATATAAATGCAAATGTGGGGTTAATCGAAGGTATGAAGACCAAGATGGCGTTGCCTTTTGCGTGGTCGCAGTCTCCTTTCGTTGTAGAGTTTGTTCGACCTTGTTTTCGCAACTTGGTCATATTGGTAGGAAGACCTAGAGGAACGCATCTAGTCCGGAGTCCATAGTATCCATGATAATTAACAGTCGGATCGTGGACGTGGTACATTCTCAGACGTTTCGCTGGCATCGGTAAATAGATCTGGCTAGTTTTCTCATGATACTCATACGACAATGCTTTGTGAAAGAGCTTTGATATCTACTACGGCAGGCATCTTGTAATTTTTCAATTGTATGATTCATAAGAGGATAGAAGATAGAAGAAGCATAGATTATGTAGATAACTTCTTCACAGAACCAAAAAAATAACGTAATTCGGGAAAAATTAATTTGTGTGTATGCAGAGTGCTGAGAGCCTCCATACCAATCGTGATGTCGACATAGTAGAAGCGGGCATCTCAGTACGCGGAACTTTGTCTGGGATCTCGAAGTTAGGGGAAGCCCGTTTTGAAGACATAACAGATCGCTTCAGCCTCTGTTGACGGGACGCAGGTTCGCCGCGTTGTTCGGAGAAATCTGATCTCTTCTGATTCTGCCATTTGTTATTTTTCGTCTTCGAAGCTCGGAATCGGGACCGCGAACGGGATTCATGATTACAGGAAAAAATATCAAAAGGCGATTGTGACTTCTTAGGAGACTGAACAGATCTCAACGGATTAACAGGAAGACGAGATGGCTTGGGACTGGTTTGCATAGGCAAATTCTTGGAGCTAACGAGAT